ATCGAGCTGGCTACCCTTTTTAGGAACATATAATATAACCATCACCTTCATGTCCACAGGCATAATTTACATGTCATTTCACAGAAGACTAAAACCGTGGGAGGAGAATTATCACATTCAAAGAATTTGGTGGTTGTTACAGTGCAGCTTGATGATGCAGGTGCTTACAGTGGCATTTCAGAGTCAGAAGCAATATCATATTCATGCCTAGGCAGGCAGAACTTCCAGGAGGGAATAAAATCAAGACCCTGTAATATCCAACTAATGCTTTATTAATGCTTGGCATCACATTTTCTTGAAGTTTAAATTGGACTTTTATTGTCTTTCCTAGCTCTTGGGACTTACTTCATTCTAAAATACTTGCGCCGCACTGTAAAAGCAAATCATCCAGTAACGCGCAAAAGAATAGAAAGCCCTCCAGATACTTGGGTACTGTGATTGTTATTATAGCTGTTAAGGGGTGGAGCTAAAATAGAAGAGTGAGAGTTTAAAATTTTTGAGTGAACAGTAAAGAAAGCCCTATTTCAATGCAAACCTCACTCGATTTTCATTCCTACTGCATTGTTCAGTCCTGAAATGTACTTTTGTGCCTATTTTTCATACATTATCAAGGGCTTTTGCTAGGCTTTTCTCATTCGGGGAAATTATGGTCTATTCGAGATGCCTACTGAAGAAAAACAGGTCAAAGAACAAACTTCTGTATTTTCAAACAAGTCAAGCAGAAGCATGTGCTCAGCGCCTGCAAAACAGGACGCAAGAGAAAATACAAACAACACTCATCTTACTTCCACATTGACTCAAGGCGTCAGCACAGCACCATGGGAACAGAAAGTTTATTATGCCAACCAAACTGAAGTATCCACTGGGAAAGATTAAGAGTCATCAAATGTCAGTTCAGGCAATTTGCCTCTTGGGTGAGTATTATCAAATGCAGCACACCACTACACGGCACAGTGCGTGCAGAACTGCCTTACTGTACTGTGATCACCTCATGCTGAAAACAGGCTGCTTCCACTGCAAAGTTACAGCCAGCACGGCTGCTGACACTGCAGCAAGGAAAACTAGGTAGAGAGAAGTGAGGTGGGAATTGAGCTTACCTTTAGGTTCAAAGTTTTCTCATGGATTGATGTGAAGAAAAGAAAAAAACACCAGAAAATATTATTGTTGCAAAAGGATAGATGAGGAGGCCTCCCATATGTTCTGAGTCTAGGAAAAGCTATCAAAAATGATCACTGTGATTCGCTTGTTTTTTAAAGAAAGTCATAAGCTTTTCTTGAAATAAATAAAGTTCTGAGATCACTCATTTTTAATGGCTGCAGCCTACACGCTGTACACATCCCTGAATAAGGCTTTAATTGAACACTTCCCCATTCACATCAAACATTTTCAAAGGCCTAGTGGAATATTTCTTAGGACTGGATTCCATTAGACTGACACACGATGAGGCAGTACAGTGCAGATTAAGATTTCTCCTAGTTTTAGTTGTCCACTCAGAGCATTTGCTTCACATGTCTTTTTAATCTCATGCAAAGAACAGACTCCATAAATCCTTAGACAACCAGAACCTATATCTAGAGGTATTTGAAAGTAGTCCTATTTTATTTGGATTGTAATTTGTGTAAATAAACATCCTGAAGAAAGCTCTAGTTTAACAGTGTAAAGCTACAATGCAATGGGTAGACAGGTTGCAAAGTCCCAGACTGCAGCAAAGGAGGATAAGCCCAAACTCAGCAGCTACAGAAACAGATGCAAAAAAAAAAAAAAAAAAAAGGAAAAAAATCTGCTTATCCTCCAAATGCCACAGGCAGGCAGGATTCTCCAGCAAGATAACCTCACCCTCACTGCGAACCCTTAAATGAGATCTGGGAAGAGGTGGATCCTGGCTGCATCCTTTCTGGTCACTCAGGTACATTGCATGCACCTGAGCTCCCCTGGGTTGGCCCTGCCTTCCCACCAGGTGCTCAATCAATGCTTCAAGCTGTGACTTAGCATTTCTTCTACCTACACCTACTATTAGATTTAACTAAATAGGAAAAAAAAAAAAACCAAAAACTTCAAGTACATTTTCAGAATATCACATGGCCTTCCCTTCCTCCTTTTGAACTGCAGACTCAAATTAAATACTTAAACTTATCTTCACATTTTCTTAGACATAGTAATGCCTTTCAATCCCCATTTATATTAAAATTTACTTTTAATAAAATTCCTTCAATTGCCCCTATCTTACTAATCTGAAAACGGAGAAGGTATCATAATTTGCTTTTGGAGAAGACCTAGTGAATATTTGTAGAGGTACAGTTTTACATATTTTTCTACAAGTGAAAAGGTTTCATTTTCAAAACAGATCTTGATCCCAGTCAGATACAAGAATTACTTCAAGAGAGATCAGTTTCATGATTTATTTTATACAACATGTTAAGAAAGCAAAGAAAACACTATTTGTTAGGACCCAAACAAATACTCAGTTTTTAACAGTATATTGACACTAAATGATAACACGGCATTTGAAATGAAGTAGTAGGCTGGATTTCATCTATATTAAAGGCTTTATTTTCAAAGGAACTACGTTAAGTAAAATCTTATAAGCAGAACTGGACTTGATGGAAGAGCTACTCAGTCAAAGTCATGATAGATTATAATACAAGTAGAGACAGTACTGGACACCTGCAGAGTACAGGGACAATAACACCGAAGATATTTGCATCCAGCTGAGACCTCCAGAGGGAAGCAGCCAAACCTACAGATAAGGTTTGACACATTTTATATCTCATCATTTTGATGAAACTCTAATGAAATAATTTCACAGATGAATTGTGTTCTCTGGAGACTCACTACTGCAGGTCAAGCGCACAGTTCACCCTTCTTGGTATGCAGAGAAATATGAATAGCTGCTGTTGTCAGGCAGTTGTGTCACACATCCTCACGCTCCCTGAGAAGGTGAATGAACATACGTACATACCTGCATTTAAAACCAGCCCATAAACCATTGACAAACTCCTTCAGGAATATAGCACTGTTAAAACTGTACTAATGCCTGTCTGCATAGGATATATATATATATAACCAAGTTTTAAGAATGGAAATTACTCTAGTCAGTGTACATCTTCTCATTGGCTTCAGTGAGCACATGAGACCTGACATCTGATCACATTTGTAACAGAGTGTTACAGCAAGATCATACAGCACCCCACATAAACAAGAGTTATACTTAGGGATGGTAGGGAAAAGTGCTCCAATAGCTGTAACAATGCATATTCAAGCATAAAGAAAGAAGACGTGAAGTTTGTGTACAGCATCAGGAACCTGAAAATGAGTACTATGTGCAACATGATATCAATGTTAAAAAAATATTTTCCAGATGAGAAACAAACATGATAACATAGTAATGCAAGAGTAAAATATTCCAGAAATAGTATTCTGTATTCTTTGTGGAAACTATAAAAGAGTATCAGGATTATGGAAGTCTGTGAGAAAGCAACTGGGCCTGAGGGATTTGCAAATTCCTTGCATTGTGATATGAGATTGTATCTTCTTGTATCTTGATTAAAAAAACATAAACAACAAAATCTCTTCTCTGAAGACTCTAATTGATTTAATAAAACAATGACATGTTATTATGTATTAACTTCACACTGTTTCAGCCTGATCAGGAAACTTCTTGATCAGCCAGATCAGGAAAGATCATATAAATACACATTTTAATATTGCTAACACTTAAAGAAGATAGAGCATCTTGGATGAAATCACAAAAGAATATTAAAGTAGGCAAGATTTGGCTAAATATTTGAATGATCTCCAGGGAAACCCAAAGACATCTTTTTATTTGCTCCTACGTGATCAGGTGATTTGACTCAGTTTTTGGAGACAAAGACCCAAACGTTCTCACAAATAAGAAGGCAGAATTAATCCACTAGACAGATAGTTTTATATTTCACCCCAATCTCTCTTTCTTCTGGTGGCTGTTTTTATTCTTCTACATGCATTCTGTAAAGTGGAACCTTTCAGTTTGGGATTCTGCATACCTTTTCAATACAAACAATGGATTTTAGCATCACCTATCAAAGTCTTCTTATTTAAAGTGTAAGTTCAAAATCCAGCAATGAGTCAAGTCTCCTATTTTGTCAGAAATCAATACCTTTAATCAATATCTATTTACCATTGCAGTACTTCAGAAGCAGAATTCACTGGAAATTATCACCTTAGTGGATATCTGTGCTAGTAAATTCCTGGCTTGCAAGCCTAAAATCTACTTCAGAGAGGTTCTGAAGTTGAAAATACTACACACGAATGGGCTTGTTAAGAACACCCAATACTTTCTTTAAAACAGGAATATTTATTTTCTTTAGCAACTCTCACCTCAAGAGGATCATCTTGTCTATGCATTAGTTACACTGCCTATTGTGCAACTGAATTTAGATTTCATGTGCTGTGGGACAGAGAATGCATGAATTTTTTTAAAAAAGTAGGTAATTTAGAAACTGTAGTATCTTACTATGGTATAAGTAAGTGTGGGATAGCATCTTTATTAAAGACACACCCAAGAAATTGCATGAATTTTCAAACTCGTTGATGCAGGGAATCTTTAGTTTTCCAAACCTCTTAAGGGATACACAATTTAAAACAAAAGACCAATGACACAGAAAAGCTTTATGTTTTCATGCAGCCAAGCAGATTCAGCCACTGCTCTAACTTCCATCCGTAGAGTAAGAGAACGAATCAACCATCTTCTCACTGTAAGAATTACTTTTGAATATATTGCACATTACTATGAACTTTTCCACTTTCCAAAGGCACATTGCTAACACTGACACAAGTCTTCAGGAATGAGACTATGATCTATACTGATAGCACAAGACACTGACACTGGCTGTTCTGTGCTATACCCCTGAAGCAGTTGTGCCCTTTTGAGATATCCCCATAGAGATTATTATACAGTGCTTGTGTAACCACGGAAGGGGTGAACACCAGGCAACAGAACAGTCTTTGTAGTAAACAAATGCATGTGTTGTGCAGCTCAGCTGAACCTAGGACTCACAGGGGAGTGTTCCATCCATCAGGACACGTGCCGTGGCATCGTATGTTTTGTGAACATTTCAAGCAGTCATCAAGGCCATGCTGAAGGGATAGAGAATGGTTCTAACATCTAACATCTGGGTAAGTTACACAGGAGATGGGAAACAGATCTGTATCCATTACTGTGACCAGAGCAAGTGGCATACTACCACTAGGATAGAGTGAGCACAAAGCCACCATAACACCTAAAGTCCAAAATACTCATAACCTGAGAACTACACTGGAAAAAGGCAAGTTCTTCAAATCTTCAAGGAAGAAAAATTGAACTTGGATTACTCTCATTTGGTGCAGGCACAGTAAGGCTAGAAATGTTAAGTTGAATTCTTATTTATTCTTTGCCTTTAAAAAGAGAAGAAAAAAAAAAAAAACACACCAAAAAACACAAGTGCCTGGAAGTAGAATGCTACATTTGAGGTCAAATTGACTGTTACATATTGAAGTGAGCTGAAATTTCATATTGGTTGTTTGTAAATACTTTTGGATCCCATACAATTTTGCAGCAAGTATAAATGTCTTTTTGCCAAGAGGATTTCAAATAAACAGAAAAGCCCCATGATTTAGGTAATATATATCAGCAAGTGATTTATATGCAAGCATAGAGAACAGATGGTTGCTATCTAAAGGATTATAAATAGAGAACTCCAGAGTTTGGCACAAATTTGATTTGGGATTATGACATAACTTTAGATTTCCCAGAAAAAAATACTTAAAAACTGTAATAGTTTTGTGCTAAAACTGTTTCTGTTTCTATATAAACATTTACCAGGAATAAAATAATTTAAATGTTGAGACAAAAATGTTGGCGCAGTTAAAGCTTCTCCCCACCTCATCCTTCAAAGCCCCCAGAGGAAATTCCTCTAGAAGACTTGGATTCCTTTGCTTGATGCAAGATGCTGCAGGCTATTCAGTCTCAAAATACTCAGACTGGTTTTTTATACCCTCAAAAGGAACATCAGATTGACTGTGTATCTGAGCAAGATGAGATGCTGTGTGCTAATTTCAGAGAGCTTATATGTGAGCTCTGTTATCCTGGGACAAGTGTGATAATTAAATTATTTCAGTTCTGATGATTCTGCAATCTGATTTGATTCGAGTGTTTCACTAAAGTTTGAAAATTAAACACATAATATAGCAATCAGAGGAGAATTTCAAAGATCTAATAATTTATTATGACTTTCCCTCCCCCCCCACTTTTTTATGCCATATGAAGACATTTAACCACAGGAAGACTATCAATATCTTCCAAATGGATTATGAACTGATTAGTAAGTTTTTGTTGGTACTTATAATCAATTATTTCCAAAGTAAACCTCAGTGAGTCAATCTTTAAAATAATCTTGACTCTCCAAATTGATCTTATTAATATCCAGAGGAAAGCTTACAGATTTTTTGTATTTGTTGTTGAGATACATTTTCTCTTGATCATGTAAAATCATACCCAGTACTAACCACAAGATGACACTTTAGGACTACTGGAAAGAGATTATTATCTCAGCAAAATAAAATAATTTTAACAATAGAATAAACTGGGTCAATTATTAGGTATACAGCAAGTTGGAATTTAGACTCAGTCTTTTTGGAAGGGAATTGATTGAACGTCTGCTGTGAGGCAGCCAGCCAAGTGGTGTATTGATCCATTGAGAAGGAAAGGAAATTTTCATTGAAGGGTCTAGACTTCTGTTAAAAGCCATAAAATAAATTTATTTATTGGGATGAAAAACAACAGCAGCGTGCATAACCAGAAAAGATTTCATTTTCAAGGAGAACTTCCAAACCAGACACGTAGAAGAGGCAATGTGAAATAAACCTACTTGTGGAGCTGGAAATAAACCATACATTCAACAAGTCTGTAAAACACTGACACTTGTTTTAGTAAATATTCTTTAATTTGATGCTTCAAGTAAAAAAAATAATGAGCTACAGTGTGCTCATTGGACAGTTCTACAGCAAGCTCTACAATCAGTATTGGGCTCTAACAGCAGAGTTTGGTATTAGAAAATTCTTATTTGATACTCAGACTTCTTAGAAACCTACCAAGTCTTAAATAAGTCATTAACAAAATTTGAGTAAAAATCCAACCTTTTCACATCAGAAATATTCCCATAAATATTGAGCATGTTAAAACAATCACCTGAAATCACTCCTATGATTTCATCTCTTTTCCAGGCCTTTGGATCCTTTCCCAAAATTATTTTACCCAAGGATGCCAGTAATAGGTAACAACTTAGACCCCTGAAGTTATAAGATGCCATACTTGTTATATTTGAAACAAGGGTGTTCCCAGCTTGGCATAGCAAGTCATCTATGAAGAAGAGATCTGGGAGCAGAGCATTTGCTTGCCTTAGTTAATCACTCAATATCTGAGTTTTTCTCATGTAGCTCCTTGAAAAAAAGAGACAAATAATGCTTTCCTATTGTTAGTCTCTTACTTTCTGCAGAATTGATTGCCCTGCTGAGGTAAATGAAGAGGTAAGGCGGCTTAGGATTTTCTTGTACTGCACCAGAAAGCTCAATGCAAACATATTCTGAGTATCTTTCCTGAGTCCCAGCACCCGTAAGTCAGTGGTATGCAGTGAGAGAGAAGTCAGTTAGTACTTTTCAAAAAATTTGAACGGTCATTAAAAAAAACAAAAGCCAAACACAGTAAGTTTCTTAGCTATGTAGAAAAGCTTGAAAACAAAGCAATACTATATTTTCTTCAACCAACCTTTCAGATTCCTGGATTTTAGGATTATTTTCTGCTGTTAATTTGAGAGCACTCATCTACTAGAACGAAGAATTCCTTTCCCTACTAGTTTCATCCTTTTCAACAGCTACGATTTTCTTCCTCCTCTGTTTCCTATCGGGAATAGACTATCATGGCAGTGTTTTGTTTATTTGCTTATGTACCTTTGTATTATTAATACGCTCTGGGAAAAGTGTTTGTTACTTAAGCTCCATCTACTGGCTTTTCAGCATAGAAAATAAAGCAAATAAAGGGTTTTCTCTTGCATTCCCTTTGTATTAATTAGCCTTAGAGTTAGAAAATTGCTGTTGCCAAATTTAGGAAGCACTTCCTCCACAAAGAAAGTGCAGAGGACTCAGAATGCTAATATAGTAAAGAATACAACACAAATAAAAATAATAGTATTTGTGTGAAATATTACTTAAGTCCTAAAACTTACGATTTTTACCTTTCTGCTTCATGCAATGTACCATAAGCTGAGAAATGCGTTTCCTTCCATCCCTCTTCTCACCAGTTTAGAAATTAATACTGTTGGTGTTTGTCAGTCAGTATTTGTCCTGCATGCCTCAATTTCAGATATTTTGCTCCTACTACCTTTGAGAAAGTTTGGCACAGGCACAATGCACACTTTGAACACTTAAGTCTTCACTAAGATTTTACAGACAGACATTGTAGTTTCTCAGATCTAAGTGAACACTGCTGGTCAAGAATTGAAAGTATATCTTTATAAAAAAGCTATATTTTCAGCTGCTCATCCATAATGCCTTTACTGTTTGTGGCAAACTCTAACCAGTGATCCCTCTTGGGCCATAAACACTCAGGCAGAAAGTCTGTTTCCAAGTGTTTTAATTATTCACAGTCCCAATAAAACATAAGCACTGTCCTCCCTGAAGTCTCCAAATATATTTTCTATCTATGAACTGACACAGATTCCCATTAATTCAGGCATTAATCAGTTACTGGTTGGGCACACAGTCACATTTGCCTCTGTGGCAGATGAGCTCCTCTCAATGACAGACTTTTTTTTCTCTCCAGTAACTCCAGTAACTCCAAAGGAAGCCTGCCATGATTATTCATCCATGTTATTATTTTTACCAGGCTTGATCAATTTCATGCCACTTGTCTGCTCAATATCCAAGTTTAAGGTAAAATCAGAAGTCTCTGATTTGGAAGAATTCTATAATAAAAGCTGGATCCAACAGATTACCAAAAAAACTCTGAAAGGCTTAAAAAAAATATCCAGACCTGCAGAAAGGCTGAATATGTCCTGCATCATTCAGGCCCTCAGTAGAGCACCAGCGTAATTTCAAAAATATCAGAATTTTATCTCAATATACAATGATGGATTTCCTTTTGTCATGATTTATTTTCTTGGAAAGACAGGAATAAGTTCTCAGTGCAATTTCACAAAGTAAAACATTTGTTGTTTATATCCCTGTAACACATCTGTGAAACTCTTTCCTTGGCTTCAAAATAAAGATTAGCAAGCAAATAACCCTCACCTCACCAAAAAAGCCAGGAATTCTCATTAGAATTGAGATGCTTATTCATTAGTATGGCATACAGACATTTATTAAATGAACCTGCAGGAGGCTTTTAAATTTTATTTTACTGATTAATCTTTTTAATCAATCAATTGACAAAGATTTTGCTACTAATTATGATCACAACAATTATATTAATTTCTATCTCCCAATTTTTTGTGAAAAGGTCAGCTATTACAGCCTGACCTTTAGCAGCCGTCACTGAAACAGGTACCAAAAAAAAGATTTTCAAGTTTCAAGGAACAGTGCACCTGTAAGATGAATTAATAATTGCCTGGAATACCTTTTATGCCAAATTTCAATTAATTTTACACAGTCTTGAATGAAGTTAATTACTAAAACACCAATCTATTGATTCATGATTTAGTATATCTTGATGGCAGCCTGATTCCTTTTATGAGAATCTCATTCGGAAGCAACAAAAACAACAACATTAATTTTTATCTAAAAAAAACCCACCCTCACCTGCCCCTCAAGCCCCCCAAATGAAACAGTGTTTTATTAACTACATGGTGGAATTCCTGCTCCCATCAATTCTGCTGCCTCAGAATTCTAGCATGCTAATTGTGCTCCTCTATACAGACAAATGCTTCAGAATAGGAAGCAAGGAGTACACCGCATCTGGGTAATGAAGACATTCTAGTCAATCCAGAAGTTAGGCAAAATCATGAGGTTGAAACCGGTAGTCTATAAGAAAAGTGTAAGGACATCTTTAAGATAGTGACAAGCAGCCAAAGATTCACTAGAAAGCTACATGTTTATAGTGCATTAATCTCCTCCGTCATGTTGTGCACTAATTCAATGTTATCCATACCAACACACTTTCTTTTTTATTGTCTTTAGAGACCACATTTTCAGTTTGGACAAGGCATGGTTCCATAAGGATTGGGGAAATGACATATGCTGCTCTTAGTAAGTATCAATAAGCTTTTCTTAGATCGATACAGCATCTAGGATTCTCTTTTCACCTCTGTGAAAAGAGGTGGCCCAGGAAATCTATAAATAGTGGGAAAAATATGAGCAGGGAGCTGCTAAGCTAGCCAGAAAAACTACCTGACATCAGATTTTAAAACAACTACAGGTTGTAACTAAAAACATTTTTCATACTGAGAATAAATTGTGAATGTTATGGAAGACTAAGGGCACCGATGTATTAAAAGAAAATAACAAATTAATGAAAGAATATCCCTCAATTTCTATTAATTAAGATACATCAACATCTTCCAGATATCAGAGTCCCCTTCCTTCCCATTGATGAAATCAAGGAAGAACTACTCAAGAAGTTTTCTGACCTGCTCTGTGTATTGTAGCTCTTGTGACATCATACTTTACTGGCTATTAGAAAAGTGTGGGGCGAGATGAACTCGCAGGTTAACCAGGTATATTGTATTTTTACAAGCTATTTACTTGTTTGCCTAAAAATAAATCTATCTTCCTACATTCCTATACATGCTATTTGAGTAGAAGTATCTCCTACAGACTTCAAGGTCCTTAAGTAGTGTTTTGGATCATTCATTAGATCATTTTGATGGCTTAGTTTCTCATTAGATATCAGGTATAAAAAAATACTTCATTTTGAATACACATGGATAACCTTCAGTTCATATACATGCACAAGCAAGTCAATTCTGTGAGAATTTAGAGGACAATACAGAAGAGGGGCACAAAAATCAGTGCTGTCTAAAGACACATTACATTTGAAACCGCCTGTCAGAAAGAACATATCACTTATACTGTGTCAAAATATGGACTCTATTCATAAAAGCAAATTATTTCTAAGAGACAGTGGAAGAAAATAATGACATAGTACTGTGTAAAATGGTTGTGTAAACTGCTTTCCTCGGGGAAAGTAAACAAATCTGCATATTATCAAACAAAACAACTGGATTAAAAGACAGCAGGCCAAGAGATATCTATGTTCACATTTTACCATATATTCTGGAAAAAGTTTCCAAGACTTCTAAAATACCATAGGAACACCCTGAAAAATCAGTCTGTTCTACATGAAGAAATACACTGAAATGTGGGAGGCAGGGGAGGAAGCAGGATGGAATAAAAGCCATTTTTATATAGTTTCATAATGTATGTTTGTGTCAAGAAAGTGCAAGCTTGCATTAAGAATATAAGAACACATTTGAAAATGTGTTGTGGACAGTGGTAATCCAATCCATAACTACGTTCTCTGGTTATAGTCCTTCTTATGTGCTCCCTGGTAATTATTTACTATTTTTGAAAAGCCAAGAGAACATACAGATCCTCTTTGTTCTACATTGGAAAAACCCTACAATTACATGCAATAAACTCTATACCAAACCATAGCTTCTAGTTGGCCCAAAGTGATTTAAAGCTAACTGTAACAGTAATGGATTAAAGCAATCTTCACTAAATATTTATGAAAAAATACTAGCCTCGTATGCCTGCAAACTTGTGAATTTTGCTCCAAGTGTTCTGCCAGGACATGAAGTTACTTTTACAACATTAAATCCCAGAAACTGTAAGAATCAATTTAAAAATATATATATATTTCATTTATCCTAGAATCTGCAAAAGAACAACTAAGAATATAATCTAATTTTCATTATTATTCACAGTTTTGCCACCCAATCAGCTCAACTGTTGGAGTACTGCATCAAGGCCTGGGGCCCCCAGTACAGAAAGACATGGAGTTCTTGGAGCAGGTCCAGAGGAGGGCCACTATAATGATCAGAGGGCTGGAGGACCTCTCCTATGGAGAAAGGTTGGGGGAACTGGGCTTGTTTAGCTTGGGGAAGAGAAGGCTCCAGGGAGACCTCATTGTGGCCTTCCAGTACTTGATGGGAGAATATAAACAGGAGGAGGAGCAGCTGTTTATGAGGGTGGACAGTGATAGGACAAGGGGGAATGGCTTTAAACTGAGACAGGAGATTTAGGTTAGATATTAGGAGGAAATTTCTCACATAGACTGTGGTGAAGCACTTGGAACAGGTTGCTCAAGAAGGTTATGGATGCCCCATCCCTGGAGGCATTCAAGGCCAGGCTGGATGTGGCTCTACGGCAACCCCGCTGTTGATCTTTGAGGTCCTTTTCAACATTCTATGAAAATGAAAATCTGCTCTATGAAATTGTTGTACTGAGGGGACCAGGAAGCAGACCGAGCAGACTGCTGAAGTATGGCTATTAAGGATACAACACAAAAGCACCCTGAAAAACTGGAAAATTCAGAATAGGTTGAATTGACATTTGGGTTGTTACGGTGGTATGGTTAGGTTGCAGTTGGACTTCATGATCTTGAAGGTCATTTCCAACCTAAGCAATTCTATGAGTCTCTGATCAACTTCTATTGGAAATGAAAAATGTGATTATTTTGTGGTTTGGTTTTTATTCCATTTAAACTCAACACAAACACTGTCTGAATGCTTATTGTCCCAAGAAAGACAGAAATATACCCAGTTTATTTCTGTCATCAGTAAATAATACTTTCAGTAAGTCTTGGAAATTTTTATACTCTCCAGGAATTTAAGGAAGTGACAATGCAATTCCCAATTGCTTTGCTGAAAGGATAAGGAATAGGCAGAGTTCACAGAGCAATTTTTGATTTATCTGTCTTTTTCCTGTCTCTGAGTCTTCCCTCTCTTTTCCCCTTCTCCTAGAAAGTTATTTGTAGATTAGAGCCTATGTAGGGTTAACATCATCAGCTTACAAAAATCAGCGCAAGCTTTCCCTTTTATCTTAAACAGTGCCTCAACAGAGATTTAATTTGGATAATGACCAGATCTGAGCATACAAAAAAGAAATAGTCTAAAACTAGTTCCCAATTAATATAAAATAATATTTTTTCATCACATACAACACTTGTACATAAAAGTCAAACTAGCATTCCTGGATCTTGATAATTGCAATATATATTTCAAAAATAACAGTGAAGTATTACACATATCATCAAAGAAGGCAGGGATGCACCGGGAAGAGGGAGCTGGCCTTGGCTTCAGGGCCTTCTGATTTCAAGAGCTCAGATCTTACTGTACTGCTACTTAGAATTCCCACAGACTTTTTTTTTTTTTTAACGCAGTAAACAGTTGCTGAAGCCTTAATGAACCATATGCTCAGGATGCAAATGTTCCACTAAGAAATGTGGCAAGTTCATTTACATTTTTCAAAAACTCAACAATTTGGAATGAAGCATGAGCTGACAGTAAAATGTAAACATCTCTTTCCAAGAATATAAATCAAATTTGTGACTTATTGTACATTTCATGCTGAAGGAGAGCCTCAGAGTAGCATCACTTCAAATATTAAGGGTAAGAGCATTTCAAGATTCTCTTGGCTGGAATTGTGAACGGATGACAAGGAATTTCCAGATCAGTGATTTAGTTCTTGGTAAGGTTCCTTTTGTCATGCAGTTATGGCTGTCCTATTATTTCCAGCAGAAACTCAATACTGAAGCCCTTGCTGAACAAAGATTTGCTCCTGTTTCACTTTTTATTTTATAAATTATTTATATTCTGTATTGTTTACATTGCTTGCCTTTTCACATGTATACCTACGTGCATAAACACAATGGTTGCTCAAAGAAGAAGCTCATATAGCTTCAGAGGTGGCACAAGCAATCTAAGATGCAGACTGAGATTCTATCTAGTCCAACCATTGATTACCCGTTTGGTTTCTTTTGTATTTTTTATTTATGCTGTATTTACAAGTAAACTCCCCAGGGTAGGTACAATCTCTCAAATCATTTTTACAGCTCCTAGCACACGCAGATTAGTTCCTAAAGTAGCAATAATGATTTCCTGTGCTTGCTATCTATTGGAATCAATCTGAATGCTTCCAGAAGAGGTCACAATTGCTCAGAAGTTCCCCAGATTACTTTTCTTATAAAAGCTGTTTTTGAAGTGAGAGCTCGAAGCTAGCATAACTAATAATTCACTGCAACAAAACACAAAATAGAATATTTATCAGTAAGGAAAAGTGATTTATCTAATTAATTATTGCCTTATTTTGTGAAGTTAATGTAATAGCCTTGGTCTTGTATAAAGATAATTTATCATAAAAGATAAAATCTCTGAACTAAAGCAAACTACGTAATTACTAGATTAACTGCACATCAGCAGCAATTTGTTTATTAAAAGGGTACTCACATTTATTTTTAATGGAAAAAATCTTCCAATTTTTAATAGTTAAATTTGCCAGCAAAAACTTACTTTAAAATTAAACTCTCTGGATTTTCATATTCACTAACAGCAGCTTCTGTATCCCTCCAGTGTATTTATAACTGCTTTGATTTATACAAAGTTAAGGATTTCACTGTTACTGAGTAAAAAGCCAACATTAATTCTTTCTGCAGTAGAAAGGAAAAGAATCACCAAATGAAATCGTACAATGTAGCTATCTGAAAAACAGAATGCAGTTAGGAACTGTCGCTTCCAAAATGAAGGACAACAGTAAAGTAACATGATTCAAGCTATTGAATCTCGTGTTCTATAAAATATGAAGAACTATGGATCACAAAATATCTACTCTGGATGTCTCCTTCAATTGTCTCTGGTCATCTTCATGCATACTTGCATTGGAATCCTCAGAATCACTGTGACCTAAGACTGAAATTTCTTCTCTGTAAACAAGCTTACATCCTTCTTGGTTGATATATATATACACATAATATATATATATACACACATAGATATAATGTATTTATTACTGGATTCCTATGACCTTTTCTCCAGCTTCTTTTAACTCTTGCACTAACTTATATGAGATTTGCCTCTTTTCTCAAGTTATCAAACTTTCCCACCCATCCGTTCACAACCCATTTCTTTTTCTCTCATTTAGTCTTCTACTTTAACTTGTACTTTTATCCTATTCACTGTACAGCTTCCAATTTGGGATATCAGTGATCAAATTCATCTTCCCTTTCCTGACATTTTACACTAGATTCTCGACTTTGAATCAAGGCTTTTGCTCATCAGAGATTTAACTATTCAGTATTCACACAATTATTGTTTCAGCAAAAATTTTTCTATGTTTTTTCCCTTATTGTTGCTGACCACTACCTCTTTAGAGTAGTCTCCCACCTGCTCTCTTCTTGCTAGCATCTTAGCACAACAGCAACTTCCTCTCCAACATAATTAGCAGCTTTGCAATTCCTGTCTCTCTTGTCTGTTAGGGATCTATTATGTCCTTACAGTATGGTTTTAAATGATATTTATGCATAAATCTTGAAGAAAATAACAATGTAAATGTTTCAGTTCTTGTGACAGCTCTCAGAAAACAGTATCAGAGAAGTAGAGAGAGATGCAGATCCTGTGTCAATCAATGTCAAATCAGTCAGAGGTAACAGCAGCAATAGAGGCTTCAAAAAACACTTTCTCTCTCCATTTTACTCTCAAGGTAGTTTAAAATTACTGAATCATAGAATCATTTCAGTTGGAAGGAACCTTTAAAGCCATCACTCCAACTCCCCTGCAATGAATATGGACATCTACAGCTCTATCAGATCTCAGAGCCCACTGCAACCTGACCTTGAGTATCTCCAACGATGGAGTATCCACAACCTCTCTGGGCAACTTATGCCAGGCAGAAATAGCTAGGTGATGAAATTCATATCACCAAAATTAAGTCCTGTATTCATGTCACAACACAAGGCAATCTCAATCCTGGCCAGCAAACTGTTTTCTTTTCTTTCTTTTCTTTTCTTTTTTTTTTTGCTTGTTTTTTCTTTTTATATTTGTGAGGATAAGGAATAATTATGTATATACCTGCCACAGCAAAGCTAAGGTACCTGCCAAGCTCTTCGCAATATAACAGTGTATGTGGAAAAAATTTAATCTAAACACATTTTATTATGCATTTTTTTTATCAAAAAATCTGTCAAGTACATCTATCCTACCAGAGTGCAGACCTGATAGGTAAGAACAAAGACTGCTTTGGTAAAGTAGCCTGCAGACTAACCGTACTGCTGTACTTAACAAATGACTTACATCCTCTGCAAGGGCAAGAGGAAAAAAAAAAAAAGAACATTAACTGTGAGTGAATGAGATTTATTTTATCATTTTAAAGTTTCTTGAACCAAGTTTACAAAGTGATTTAGTCTACTATTATTTATTCAGTCCTCTCTCAAGGACTATCTGTTATAGCTTGCTGCATAAAACTGTTCAGATTTTTCCCCCCTCTATTTCCTTTATGGTTTTCTATTTGAAATGTTTAAAGAAACTTCATTTTTTCAGGTATTAGTTCAATGAAGACAGAGATAAGCCCAGTTCAAACTAACCTCTAGCAAGTTCATGAGTCCGCACAACACCGTATAAAAGTTAGATAGAAAATTCTGAAAGACCAAAGATTTAGGTCAGCCCTAGGTTACTGTTTAGCAGGTATCTTGTAGTCTAAATTTACCTATTAATTTGCCTATTTATTCACAGAATTTGAATTTAATGTTCAAATACCTTAAAAAGTAGTAATGAAACCCCTATTTCTGTACTGTCACTTGTTCAATTAGAAATCAAAATTGAAATCTTTGTCTATATAAGAGTGAACTTGTTTGCCTTGGGTCTTGCATTCTGCTCCTCAGTATCTGCATCTGTAAGCAACAATATGGAGAGCTGTGGAACACCGTTCAGAAGTACTTTCAAACACTTCAGATCCAGATTTCAAAAGATTTCTCTCTATATTTATATAAAGTAAATTTAATTCTCTACCAAATGGTAAAAAAAACCTTCTACATGGAACTTTTAGAAGGATATAAGAGATTATAGGAAATGGAAAAGTCACATTAGCCCCCTAATTTTAACTATTGGAAGTTTCACAAATGGATCATGATATGTTGTATTAATTATGGTTCATAATAAGATTCCAGATCATTAAGATGCTTATGTTCATATGCGCTCTAAGAACACAGGCAGGAGGATCAAGGGAAAAAAAAAACGAATTACTGAACTCCCAGTTTTAGTTTAGACAACACAATTTGAGATTCATAACTATTTTTGGCCTGCTCTTATTACCTCTGACTTCTCTTAACTATACCATTAACTACATTGTTTGGGCCATTCTAATATTGAAGTTTATTGGAAAATAAGATCTTATGGCTTTCTTATTAAGAGCATACTGTAAACAATTCCACTAACCATTACAGAAGTTTCCTAGACAGAACAGAATGCCATTTTTGAAGGTTGAACACAGTAATGCTGAATCTGCATTTAAAAATCTGACAACACTGGATCATGATCAGCTTGACAGCCATTTCAGAGTTGTCTCACATTTGACTGTCAGCAAGCCAGCACTGTTCCTAATTTCTTTAGGATCTCTGTGGTTCCCATCTCATACCACAATGTTTTGTCAGTGTCAAACCATGGCAAGTAACACACCACAGTCAGCACTGCTATTCTGCTTATCACAGATGGAAGAGACCAAGCCAAGCAATTCTTATCATCTCATCTGTATACTCTAGGATCCTAACTAGTGTTTATATTTTCCAATTGTGAACACCCCATAGATCTTGATATATCCAGAGATGATATGTTATATAACATAGTGAGATGTTATAAATGAGTTCTAGAAAACATTAAGACATTTTAAAATGCAGATGAAGACAAAGCCCACAGACATGTTTAAGGACTACAGTTTGTTCTACAGGCTAATCAATCCTAATATACTGAAAAACATCCTGGGATTAATAACTCCCTGAGCTGTGCCTAATTACAATTTTCAGAACAGTTGTTCTAGAAGGTAATGGGACTGGTAGAATTAACAGAGTTTTGATTACCTTTATTCATTTGTGCTTAAGCTATTTTATAGAGAGCTCATCCTGTCTTATTTCATTATCTTGGAATACTTCAGGTTTCACTAATCCCAGAGACAGACAAGCCTGATGTTTTTTTCTCATAGATGAGCCAGAACTCAATCAGAGATAATGAGAGTTTTCACTTAGACTGTGAATAGCAGTGTCATACATACCTGCAGAGCAACACGGAATATAGAGAAAGCCTTTCACCACAAAATCTATCCCCCAACTTTAAGAACAACAACATGATATGTAACAAAACACAGCAAGTTATTGTTCACAAGAATATTTTCACACTGAGTGAGAAATACTTTTTCTCTTTGGACTGAAGATACGGGAGTCTGTTGGCACAGAAGGGCATGCTCTGATAGCATGACACAGTGTGACTGAAGAATTACACGTAAAAATTTATTTTTGACAAGATCTTGTGTCTTCTCCCATGGGGGTATCCCTCTCCTTGTTGCTTCCCCCTGTAGTGCAGCTTTAAAAGCATCAAGTAGCCTTAGGCACAAAATGCTTAAGAATGAAATCTAGCCCTTAGACTTCAGTGCAAAGCAGTTTCTTTGAGGTGTTGGCCTGTACATCAATTACCCTAGAAGGTGATAAAGTTTGTTTCATGCTAGAGCAAGGATGTGTGATATAAAATCTGGGGAGACAAATAATAACAGCAGCAGAAACAGGCACGCATTCTCCACTGGCAAAATATATCCGAGTTTGGTAAATCAGAGGGATGATTCTAGCCCAGTATATATGTTGCAAACTACTATAATCTGGATCCTCAAACTTAAGATTTTTTTTTTTTTTTAAAGGCAGTGACAGTGACTACAGATTCACATATAAAAGCTGAGATGAAACCCAGGATCATAAGGAGTTCAGACAGTAAGTCTACTTGCCTCACCCTTTCTTAAAAAAAAAAAAAAAAAAGCTTTCTTCTGTATTTCTATTCAGCATTTTTCATTAATGAGCTTTTTCAAAAAACTTCCTGAGAGGTCACAGCACATTCACATAGCAAGGAATTCTATTACCTTCAGATGCACAGATTTGATCTGGGAAACAATAAAAGAAAACAAATAGAATATAGGAGTTGCTTATCTCTAAAGCTGAGGAGAAATATCTTGCTCTCAGGTGACTCCAGGCACTGCTGTCCTCACTACCTTTTGAGCTGCTAAATAAAAACCCAACAGAATATGAGAGAAAACAAGACCTTGGTAGAAAGACTCCTAAATAAAAGTGTAGAAGAAGAAAGAATAAGCAAACACCTGCAGCAGCCTTTGCACAGCCTAAAGAGACACCAACATGATAGATTGTTCTGCAGAGGATATTCTTACCAGCAAATATTTGTTCCTTGTTGCTATATGATTCACAGTCCTTCAGGAAAGACTGTCTCCAGTCAAAAACATAAATCACATGTAACAGGAGGCAAAATGACAGCAGGACTCTTAAAACTCATAGTAGATTTAGTGTATGGATAGGAAAGCACAATCTCTTTAGAGCATGATAGCATAATAAGATATGTTGAATCATGGACCTTTTAATAGTCTGACTGCAATTCAGCCAAAAAAAAAGCAGAAATGCTTTAACTTAAAGAACTTAAAATCAACTTAGCAGAACTTCACCATCAAAACGGAATCTGATGAAACTCAAACATCAGGTTGCAACCTTGCCCAACAAAAGAAGTCATCATTTCAGGCATCACCAGTCAATATGTACCTCAACTAGAGAAAGACAAAAACAACTCACAAAAACAACTTAGTTCAAATGAAAACAAAGGGCTTATTTCCTGTTCAAGATTTGAACCATAAATACATTGTTCAGTGTATGTTTGCTAGACAAGCTAAAAAAAAAAGCCTTGTTACTCATCACAAACAGAAAAAAGAAAACTGATTGGAGGAAAAATAATTATTTCATCCCAGTCAAAAAAAAAACCCCAAACACTTTGCTATTGATTTTTTCCAATGATGAAACTTAGTTTGATTTCTTAAAAGGCAAAAGTCCATTTAAAATAAGAACAAAAAAACCCACAGTAATTTAAGATCAAATGTTGAAAAATAGCTTCTAATTTTCACCTGAAGTTTAACATTCACTCTAAATTATCATAGAATCACAAAATCTTTTGAGTTTCAGTGGACTTTTAAAGGTCCTCTAGTCCAACTGCCCTGCAATGAACAGGGACAGCTACAGCTCCATCAGGTGCTCAGAACTCCATCTAGCCTGACCTTCAATACCCACAGGAATGGGGGATCCAACACATCTCAGGGCAACTTATGCCAGTGCCTCACTACCCTTACTGTGAAAACAAACAAACTCCTTACATCCAATCTAATTCTCCCTGCTTTTAGTTTGAAACCCCTGTCCTGTCACTACAGATCCTGCTAGTGGCTCTCCCCATCTTCCTTACAGCCCCTGTTAGATACTGAAAGTCCACTCTCAGATATTCCTGGAGCCTTTTCTTCTCCAGGCTGCACAGCCCCAGCTCTCTCAGCCTGTCCTTGTAGGGAGATGTTCCATCCCTTGGGTCATTTTTGTGGCCCTCTTCTGGATGAACTCCAATGTGAGTCCATGTCTCTCCTGTACTGAGGACTGTACATCTGGATGCGGTACTCCAGGTGAGGTCTCACAACACAAAGAAAAGGGCAGGATCTCTTCCCTCACCTTACTGACCATACTGCCTTTCATGCAGACCAGGATATGGTTGCTTTTCCAGGCTGTAAAGGCACACATCAGGCTGCCATCCACCAATATCCCTAAGTCTTTTCAACAGGGCTGTACTCTATCCTTTTACTCACAGGCTTGTGTTGATAGTGGGGTTGCCATCACACAGGTGCAAAAGACCTTGCATTTGGCTTTGTTCAACCTCATGAGTTTCTCATGGATCCACCACTCAAGCTTGTCTAGTTCTCTTTTATGATTGAAGTGACTGAGACAGGAAGCCAGACAGTCAGATGCCATGCATTTCTTATGGCAAGAACTGGAATGTTGATGAGGAACTGGAACACGGAATGTTTACATTGCTTAAAAACATATAGACAACATTACACAAGGATATATGCTATTATACATTTTGATCAATTTCACATACAGCAGTTGTTTGTATGTATGCACATTTGAATATCTGTATGCATATGTCTATAAAAATATACACACATACACATAACATCACTCAGACTTTATGTGATACACTAAATCTCTGCACTAAGCTGTCAGTAACTCTGCTGTGAATAGATTAGAGCATCAGCTTCCCTTTATTTCATTGTAATATGCTCAAGCAGTGACTTGGAATAATGAGGGTAATTCTCATTCTCCAATCACATTCAGTTATGTGCCTTGTGTACCAAGATCATCTTTGTGAAGTCGCATTTTCTCTATTTAAGCTTTTCTGTTGAGGTTCAAATTGAGATCACCACTGAGCTCGCAATTAATTATAAAGTTTTCTATAAGTATTAGATGGATAATATAATATTTTTTGGATATCAACAGGTGAAAAAACTGCCTCCTTGTAGTCTAATTAATGAATGAATTAATAGAACCATTCTGAAACAGGTCCTGTTTTAGTAGTGCCAAAACTATGGGAAACCAATTCTAGAAAAAAAAATGCTCTTCAGAGTGTGATAAAGCAATACTTTGATGCTGCAGATTCTAGCAGTGTATACTACAGTCTGATCCTAGACCACAATATTACTTCAATTTAAAGCATGAAAAAAGGTGAGATGTAGATAGGCACTTTCACATTATTTCCAGCTCCCATGTCATCCTAGAACTTTGTCTTTTGAAGCAAGTATCTACTCTAGATTAAACCAGATAGTACCTTTAAGGGGTATGCTGAAGGCTGCCTACATAACAAGGCACACATAGGATAAGACCATGGATCTTGCAGAGTATGAAAGTAGTTTGGTCTAGAACAAGAGATAGAACTAATGAGAACATTGCTGTGCAAAACAGCATCTTCATTAATTAAAAATGCTTAAGCAATATAAGCATTCAGCTTGCTCTTTGTAAGCATCACATTTATAATTATGGCCAAACAAAAGAATTTTTTTCCTTTTAGAGACAGCTTTAACAAAATATTTCTGACTGCTTCAAAAGGCAAAATAATAGAGTAAAACAAAAGAAAAACAAACAGCCATTGACAAAAGACAACATCACAACAAAAGGACCTTTTAGTAATTTAAAAGAGTATAATTTCAGAAGGCAGGGGAAGATTTTAAGATCACTTTATGTGTACATATTAGGAATGCTTCTGTAGTGACTCCACCTGAATTCTAAAAAGAAAGGACTGAAACTCATGCAAAAAGGCATGTTTACTAAATGGATACATTGATCACTGAACTTTACAAAGCATTAAATTTTAATGAAATGCAATGATACGAGAAGCTTTGGTTGTTTATGTAAAAGTTCTAAAGAAAACCATGGATTTATATTCACAGGATACTTATCTCTTTGTAAATGACAACATATTAATAGAAAATGAACAAAACAAGAAAGAAGTAACTTTGATTAACCCCAATAGCCACTGTGCATAAGGTAGTAAAAGAAGAAAAACCTGGGTGGACAAGTTTTATCTGGGAAACAAAATTTTAAAGGAATCAATGCCTGTTACTCTTACACTTCATTTACAGCATGAGTTAAAGGGCCTCATTAAAGCTTACCATCTAAACACTGAGTTATTAACAGAGGACTAGAATGCTCTAGTCTAGCAAAAGGACAAAGAGCAAATTCAGTCAGAGGATACTGAGAAAAACAAAACTCACAAACAGTGTTGAAGGTCAGAATAGTCACATCTCAACAACAAGAAGCCAGCTCAAAGCTTACTGTGGGGAAATGGGGATTCTTGTCCTGTTAGTGAGACTATTACAAGATCCTACTCATTCAAAAGGTGGAACAGTCCAAGTTTTTCCATCACAGTCAGACATGCTCATTGCTCTCCCAGAAATTCTCCTATATCTGTAAGGAATCTGGGCTGAGCAGCCTACTTACAACAGCAAAGAATACTAGACTTTTTGTCAAACTAATGCAATATCCAAAAGCCTCACTCTGAATATTGTAGTGTTTTTTGCCATTCTGCTAGAAAGATAATTCTGTTGCACAGAATTTGCATTGGTAAACCACACATGCATACATATTGTGATGTACCAGAGTGCTAAGGTAATTATCTAAAAAGCCCATTAATGAAAAATGTTGAGTAGGAATATAGAATAAAACATTTTTTTTTTTTAAGGAAAAGTAGGACAAGGAGAGACTTACTGTCCAAAATGCTTGTGATCCTGGATTTCAACTCAGCCAGTGCAGTGACTTCCACTACACACTAAGGGCCACATTTGGACCTTCTTGTCAACATTTTTAAAGTGCTTTATAGTGACTGACACCCTAAACAGATAGAAACATGCTACTACTATTTGGTTCAGCCTTGTTTAATGCACTCAGACTGTGAGGTGCGAATGGAAGCCTATCATAAAGCTTTATTCTACTTATATCGTGCACATAAAAATATAAAAATAGTGCAAATGAACAAAGTTTATTAAAGAATAAATCAGTAAAAATAAAGTAATCCTCTTGCTGATGTTTAGTTTTGTAATTAAACTTTAAGGCAAACACTTCCATTTTTGTCCCAACACGCTGCCTTTTCTGAGGAAGTTAAAGGCTTCCCACCTCACTTGGAATTTACTTATTTAAAAATCAATTCTCCTCATAGCCACAAACAGTGGAGGAAATTGAGCTATTTTAAATCAGTGCTTAAAATGGTTTTCTCAGTGGTATTCCTTCCCTACTGGAAATATTGAGCTTTTTTTTTTTTTTAATTAAAAATGAAAGTGGACATTTCATCTACTATAAAAACACAAACCAAACAAAAAAAGGCAAGAAAAAAAAAAAAAAAAAAAAAAAAAAAAAAAAAAAGA